TGCTGAAGACTGGAAAATAATTCCAGATTAATTGGAGGAGTAGAGAGAAAAAAAGAACAAGACTAGGTAGCCTAGTGGTTATAGTGCACACCTGAGAAAGGAAGTGCTAGATTTAGCAAATATTTGCTAATGTATGCAGTGATGACCACAGACAAGAGAAATTGTCTGGCTTGAGAACATTTGTGCATTAAGGATAGAGTATGGATTATTAGTATACCATCTGATACCACATGAAACCTCTCAAGTCTGAAGTTAGTGAAGCTCAGTAAGAACTGGCATAGAAACTGAAGCCCACCAGGGTTTTTTCAAGGATACTGTTTATTGTTTGACTTTGAAAAGCGCTTGGTTAGATCTCTGAGCCTCCTCAATGGAGGCCTCCATTCCACCATTCTCCAACTTCGCAGTGAACATTGCAAAACAGCTAATGTTCAACAGTGAGCTCTAACTGCAGTCTGGATTTACAGTCTGCTCGAGGGCCTGTTTTAGTATTTTGGTGTCTATGGCTGAGTCCTAGGGCTCACACAACATAAATGATGATGATAGGTTTTCTCTGTCTGTATTAGCTTCATTTACTACCTGCTCTGTACCATACAGATTGCTAAGATAATAAACATGCTGAACTCTTTGGGGAACCTGGTATTTGTGGACATTATCTCCAACCTTCAGTCACTAGGCAATATGCCTGCTATGGATTTCTGCTATACTGAAAATTACCTAGTGTTTAACTTTCAAGCAATGCTATAGAACAGCCTCCTTTCCTCCCCCCTCCCTTCTTTTAATGGAAAGGCCTGGGACAGAAATTATTTAGAACTGAAAAGGAAAGGTTCCTGCAATGGTGGTCCTTGAGCGCTAAAGTCTGAGGAAGGCTCCAGTTAACAGACTTGTGGGGAAACATCAGAATCATCTGAACCTGTTTTTGTTTGAGCAACAACTATTCTTTGGGACCCAGTGCTCACATCCATAAGTACGTGGAAGGCACACATTTGATTTGAAAGTAGGGCATTAGTTCTTGTCCTTAAGGCCTGAATCCCTGACATTTAACATGAGAGCCAGAGTTACTGCTCTGCTGCACATCTCTCCATGGAGGGTGGGTATTATAGGAGGGAACAGACAGTTGTGAAATGTCCTGGTCCAGACAAGTCTGCATTACATAGGTATTCAAGAGGCCTGAATCCTCTTCCCAGCTTTACCACTGACCTGCCATGTGATCTTGGACGGACACTTCAGCTCTGTGCGCTTCTTTTCCACCTTCACCTCTTGCCTATTTAGTCCAAAAATCAATTTGGGGAGCAGGAGATCTCTCTTACAATATGGTACCAAGCACAATGGGACTCTGATCTTGGCTGAAGCCACCTGGTACAGCTGTAATAAAAGCAGCAGGAGCTGCATCTGACTCAAGGAACAAGTTTTCTCTTTGCTTGCAAGCAATTCTCCCTCAGCAGAGGAATCTCATTAGGCCACCCACCATGCAATCTTTCGCTAAGCACTGTTAATTGCCTATAATTGACATCTGCCACCTGTTCATTGAGCACAGCTATGGGCATTTAACTCCCTGGCACCAGTGTTTTCCTGTCTGTCCGTTTCTGCCAAAAGCAGTTTCCCTGAAAGCCTTGACTGCCAGCATTTGGAAATCGAAGGAAGCTCATGACGACACAGTGTTTGGATTCTTCATTGTCCCAGAGGACACCAGAATGGAAAGATGTCACTTGGCTCTGGCCAAGAGCATAGGTCTGGCAGACTTTGTCAATGAGACAACCAGAAAAGCCAAGCAAAGGGAGATACAGGACTGATCATTTGTGTGCTCCTGAACATGGAGATATAATGGGTGGATTTTCATAAGGGTTCTTGCTGTTCACATGCTAGAAATTCAGTTGCAAGCAGAAATGGAAACATAGTAGGGAAATAAGTGCACTCCCATGTTGCCAGAAGGAGGTGGGTAGTCATACCCACACGCATGCCAATAGATGGTAGATGAATGTGCTGTAACACTAAGCAGCTAAGGCCTGGATTGTTGCCATGACAAAGACAACCAAGGGTCCTAGCTGAAAGATGGCAGCTCAGTAAATAGTCAGATATTACTTATTCACTACAAAAGTGACCAAGTGACATCTCTCCACTTACAGTGCCATATAGTTTTATACCACAGTCACTGTTGCTTAGAGGTAGCTGAGTGGCCAAAGGCCATGGTTCTCATAGCAGCCTTAGGAACAACCTAAACTGAGCTCAGTTCTCTTCCAGAATTCGGTCATGTCAAAAAGTCAGAGGGTTTTCTCTTATGACCCATCACATGACTCCTGTTGCCAGTACTTTGTATAAAATACTCTCTCTTGTTCAATAGATTTCTCTGGGCTGGAAGGGGTCTCCCATAATTTATTTTTATCCAAGTTTACAAAGATTTTCTCTAATCGTGGTCAAAGTGTTGAGCTCTCTGAGCAGTCCTAGGAAAAGCATGCATGATGACCACATTATTTGCAGCAAAGGCTATGATTGCTTGAATTTGATTTCTGAGGGACTCGTGATTACTTTCTGCTGAAATTCTCTCAAGGATGAAAGAACAAGATGTACATACAGATAGCGGGGAAATGAGAGACAGTGCTACCATGCTCTGGCTAATTCTGCATAGCGCTTTTTTCATGAGTGTCTGCCCTGAGTAGACTTTCTCTTTGTTAATTCTCCAACTAGCACTACTCCCAAAGAGGTTACTGTCAAGAGTAAGCAGGATGTTGATGGACCACCAGTAACTGAACTGATTCCCCCTTTGTTTAGTTGCAAGAGGAAGTCCTGGGTCTCTTCCTTCCATCTCATCCACATGCATATGCATTTAGAAATAAGGCATGATTGCACTGACCCCTTCCAGCCCATTGACTACAAAAGTATTACAAAATTACTCTAATGCATATCTACCCAATGGACCAGAACAATTCATTTTGCCACATGAATATGCATTTTAAAAAGTTGCTTACACCCAGGTTACACCAGCTAAGCCAGGGAGGAAAAAAACCCCTAAAAGATGCACATTAAAAATCAGACTCATTATCTATGTACCCAAGAGATTTACATTACCACTGTAACCTTTTGTTAAAGGGAGGTGGGTGCCTTGTCTGTGAGAGAGCAAGAGAGAGAAATATGCAGATTTCCCTCGCTTTATGGGGTTCTGTATGTGTGTATTGGCTCTCATGCAGTGACCCTTTTTATACCAAAAATTTATTATATGCAAGGTAAAATCACTCTTATGTTATCAGTGTGGTGGAAGCCCAGTCAGCTGCTTTGTGCAGTGCATTGTGGGAGTGACGCACACCAAAATAGCTTCCTGCGTGAATCTGTGCTCTTCGCTCATTGCCTATGACACGTGTTTCTGTAGGTGCCATCCCCATGATGGCTTCTAAGCATCCCACTAGCTTATTTCCTACCCCTCTCCCTGATCCATCAATGAAGTGCAAGAAAACTTCACTAACAATGGAGACAAAACTGGAGATTTTGAACCGTGCAGAAGCTGGTGAGGGGCCCTCTGCACTTGGTCGTGCATTCAGCCTGGGTGAGTCAACCATACGTGCCATCAAGAAGAATGCTGACAACATAAGGGGTTCTGTGATCCATTCTACACCACTTACTGCCAAGGTAGCAATGAGACTAAGGAACTCACTGTTGGAGAAGATGAAGAAGATGCTGGGGGTGTGGGTGGAAGATCAAACCCAGAGGAAGATGAATCTTTCCTTTCCTATGGCTGCCTGCTTCAAGACAATGATGGCTCTAAAAAGCCCTTCATGGTAAGGCTGTGCAAAATTTCACCAGGTGTTTCATTTTGACTCATTTTGAGCTCAAAAGAGCGAAATCGAAATGAAATAAAAGTCTTCAAAACAGCCTCGAAATGAAACGGGGGCAGTCAAAACATTTCGAAAGTTTCAAAACTTAAGTTTAGAAGCTGGGCTTGCTTGGAGCTAAAGAGAAACTAAGGAGAGGGAGGGGGAAGAAAGAGCGGGGAAGGACTGCTCTGGCATTGACTGTGTAGCTGGCCAGTGACTGTGATCCTTCCCTGAGGTCCCTTCGAATACCAGTGCTCTGGGGGAGGGATGGAAAAACAGCTGCGCCTTAACACACAGTCATACATATCATGAGTTTTGCTTGTCAGCAGCTTGAGGTACAGTTTCTCAGAAACCCCTGCACCTATCTCCTTGAAACCTGGCAGGCTTCATGGCCTCAGAAGGAGCTACCATGCCTTTTGTTTTCACTCTGCTGTGCCTTAACAGATGCACATGACACGAGTTTTGCTTGTCAGCAGCTTGAGGTGCATTTCCCCAGAAACCCCTGCACCTATCTCCTTGAAACTTTGCAGGCTTTGTGGCCTCAGCAGGGGCTACCCATGCCTACTGTTTTCATCCAAATCTGCCAAGAAATGACAAGGTTATAGGCAGTTTTGTGCTTCCCCGTTATAGGCTATGGGCAAAATGTCAAAACAGTTTTGACTAAATGAAATGGAACAGCGCTTCGAAATGAAACAAAACAAAACTTGAAACAAAACACTGTCCCGTTGAAATGGATGTCAAAACAAAATGGTGCCATTTTGCACAGCCCTACATGGCTAGTAAGGGCTGGTTTGACAAGTTCCTTCAGTGTATGAACTTGCACAAGGTTAAGATGATGGGGAATCTGCAAGTGTTGATCATGAAGCTGCTGCAAAGTTTCCTGAGGGGCTTCAAGCAATCATAGCTACTGAGGGGTACAATCCTAAGCAAGTTTTCAGTGCAGATGAGACAGGGCTGTTTTGGAAGCGGATGCCAGCTAGGACATACATCCCCAAGGAAGAGAAGGTTGCAAGTGGGTCAAGGCAACAAAGGACAGGTTGACTGTTCTACTGTGTGGCAATGCTGCTGGAGATTTTAAGTGTAAGCCACTGATAGTCTACCACTCCTTAAACCCATGGACATTAAAAGGACTGAGTAGGAGCATGTTGCCTGTACACAGGACTGCAAACAAGAAGACATGGGTAACAGACCAAGTTTTTTAGGACTGGTTCACTTAACATTTTATCATGGAGGCAGAGTGCTACTGCAGGGAGGCTAACCTTGTGTTGAAGGTGTTGCTCATCCTTGACAATGCCCCTGGGCCCCCTGAACACCTGGAAACTATCAACCCCAATGTGAAAATCATTTTCCTCCCCTCTAACGTGACCTCACCAATTCAGCCTCTTGATTAGGGCATGATATCAACAATACTGACGGACCCAACAAACCAACAATCCGTGAACGGTGGAAGGCACACAACGTGAGGAATGCCACTGACAACATTAAGGCTTCATGGGATTAAGTGAAGTCTACTACCATAAATAGTGCCTAGAAGCCACTCTGAAAGGAATGTGTTATGGACTCTAAGGGCTCCCCAAAGCTGCACACAACTGCTCAAGAGGTTATTGATCTTGGACAGAAGATGGGAGGAGATGGCTTTTCAGACCTTGAGGAGGCAGACGTCATCAATTCTCACAATGAGGAATTAAGTGTTGACAAACTGATAGGGAGTGCAGCTGCTGACGAGGAAGAGGAGCAGGAGCAAGAGGTGGTCTTTGAGGTCAAGGACGTGACTATGAAGAAGATGGCAGAGTTTTTGGCATAGGCTGAGAGACTTGCTCAGTTTTCCCTGGATATGGACCCTAGCCTGGACAGGAGCCTGCAGTTCAGGTGTGGTTAGAACTCCTTCCTTGGTCCCTACAAGGAGGTGTATGCCGAGGCCCAATAATTGGCAAGGCAATGCACCGTTCCAGTTCTTGAAGCCTCACTCAGCTACCCCTAGCCCTACCTCACTGGTGTTAAAGGGTAATGAAAGCCCTGTTCCTGTTGATTCTCCTATGGATGTTACCCTGCCTCTACCTCCTACCAGTGATGTGGAGTCTGATATTGAAAACCCATCACTACCCTCTCTTCACATCAAGAAAACATACACCACCACCCTGTGTTTGTGTGTGCTGCTGGCGAGTACCAAAATTGTCTTGTAAAAATGGTAGAAATGGGTCTGGGGGGTCAGTACAGTCAAGGTCTTGGAATGTATCCTTATTTGTTACATTGTAAAGTGGGTTCCCTTTATGCAAATTCGAGTTATGCACCACGTTCCAGGAACACATGTACAGCATAAAGTGAGGGAAACCTGTAAATAATAAAAAGCAGACATGACTAATTTTTATGGGGATGTTGGCAATTGCCAGAAGCCAGAAAATTCACAATTAAGCTACCTTTGACCTTTGACTTGATGCCCATGCAAAAGCAGAAAACATCTTCTCCCAGCTCTGACTACATGGACTTGAGTCCCTGGCACTTTGGAGAAAGCATGTATACTTGCCCACTTATCACCTCCTTAAAGTTGATGAGCATGGATGTTTTGGGTG